GGAGCGCGTATAGTAGCCGAAAATATTACAAGTAAATTAGCAGAACCGTATTTTAGCCGACAAATATTACAGACGACAGTATTTCAGCCGAAACCTATTAAAGCCGAATTTATACCGATGAGCGTTATAATAATCAATTTTTTTAAATTCATTACATAGTGATACTGCAATAGACAATATTATATATTATTTTACATACCTACATTATACCCTAGAACAAATTATACATAATATATTAATATATTAATTAGTAGGTATATAATAATATTTTATTGTAGGTACCTATAATATAATTAGATATAAATATGTTATGTTCAACACTTCAACAACCTTTTTGAAAATAAAAACGGTGCACTGGCGTTATTAATAATACTTGATGGAAGTAGGTACTAACAATTATAATGACCACACAAAAAACTGACATTTTTTTATCAACTATCAAGAACAAATTTTTTTTTTAATTTTAAATGAGCCTCAACAACAAAGGTTATTGGCCTTTAACATAAATATTTTTTTTTTAACAAGAATGAGTCATTAACAATAATATATACAAAACAAAGGTAATAATATGAACAAAAAAGGATTGAGATATATCTAGGTTAAATAATTTGGTATAGTTTAGTTCAGTGCTTCTTAATCTTTTTARTACTGCGACCCAAATTTCCCCCGAAAAATTTTTCGCGACCCACATTGTTTCACTTTTCAATAAGTAGGTAATAAAAAACAAAATTTGTATTTTATAAATATGTATACATTTTTATTAGGTATTTCGTAATAAATATATGACGAATTATTAGTATCTAATCATTATTACTCACAATTCATCCAATTTCTTGGAATCTATATAATTTGAAAACATGAATTATTATTTATTACCCACGTCAAAATTGTTTGCGACCCACCAAAAATTGACTGACGACCCACCAGTGGGTCGCGACCCACACTTTGAGAAACGCTGGTTTAGCTTGTTTTAGAATTTAGATAACTGATTAATTTTTCAATGTTGCTTGGCTGGGGACTTRGAGCTTCTTCCAGATTRTCTTCTATGWTGAGCTTGGTTCTGATGTCGGTGAATTTACGGCAGTGGCGTATTAGATGTTCAACCGTGGAAGTTTCACCGCAAGTTTGACATTGGTCAGGATCTGATCTGTTCATAAGGTGTTTATGGGTCACCCATGTGTGACCTGTCCGTAATCTATTTAAAATTACTTCCTGGYGTCTTGGTAATGAGAAGAATGGCCATGGAGAAACTGTAGATTTTATTTTATTTAGCTTGGTATGAAGTGATGACCACGAGATTTGCCATTGAGTTATAAAATGTGTTTGTCGATGACGGATTTTAGGTCGTGAAGAGTATAGGTGTGAATTTTGTAAGAGAGATGGGAGGAGATGGCTTCTTTGGCATACGAATCAGCCAATTCATTTCCCCGGATTCCGACGTGGCTGGGTATCCAGCAGAGAATGATGATCTGTGCWTTGGTTTTKARACGGTRTATCTGATTGTGGATTTTTCTAGATATGCTGTTGGGTTGGTGTAGATTTAGAATACCGGTTAATGTGCTGAGAGAGTCGCTAAAGATTATGGCTTTGTTTATTCTATTTTCATATATAATGTCCAAGAACAAATTAAGGAATACTTGTAAGTTATAATACAAATTACAAAGAAAAAAAAGGTTTATTTTGTAGGTATATAATTGTTGCTAAAACTAGACAGCTCTAAAAGCTTAAGAGTTAAGACTATCAATGCTCCAGAGCGTGCATGGTTCTCTACGCTTGCATTTATTTAAACTATAAGTTATATAAGTATAGTAATATGCTATATCAATCTCTGTCAATAATAATGTATAATGTATATATACCTAAATAGTATAAATTATATGTCCATGTAGCTGACATATTAATGTTTTAAATAGGTAATTGTTTGGTATGCTATCAACACCAAAAAAATACTTAACTAGTAACAATCACTGATAAATAGATTTTAATCACATGGGAGGATTTTAATTTTTCTTTGCTCTCAAATTTGACATCCAGTGTACTCACCAACTCCTAAATGTTTCACCAAACATGATTCAAAGTTATAACAGTAAATTATATGCAATTTATATAAAAATAAGTGTGGATACCTACTCACAGAATGACATAAAACCATGGAAATAAATACCTCAAGATATAATAAACAAGTACTTCTGTTAACCTATTTATAAATTTATTAAAAACCTTAAATCACATATTTTGAAGGTCAGAGTAAACTTATTAGATAATGCTACAATAAAGGTACAAATGTAGGCAGGGTGTTACTAATTGTGATTTGAGTTTTACATATTGTATAAAAGTAACAAATTGTAATTTTGAATATTTAACATACCTACTATATAGATTATAGGTACCTATATAACTACTTACTTACATATTACATAATGAATGATTAATACCAAAATCTATAAAAATGTATTAAATTACTACTACAGGTATACTAGTACTCGGTACCTATCTGTTTGGTACCTGGTAATTATGTTAGGTAATAGTTACAAAGTTTAAATATTATATTTATACTTTATTTATACCATTTAGCTAAAAATGTATTAGAATATTATAAATTTAATATAATGATTAGAACATTTTTAAAATATAATCATWAATTCTTAAGATATTCTAGTTTTAACCTAGGTGAAATATTTCTAAAATATCGGTATAATATAATATGGGATTTCTGCCTAAGATACATGATTRGCAAATCTTTAGATTGTGACGAATTTTTTGGAAATCTTAGTTTCAAATACTTATATATGTTTGACATTTTTGAATATAATATGTCAGCTACTATAATTGGTGTTGAGAAACTTTTCATCCAATTTTTATACTTATAAGTTATGACTTAGCAAAAAAAAATTATCGATATTTAAAAAAAACAAACTTTAAAAAATTTAATTAATTTAATTTAATGATAATTATTAATAATATTTTGTGAATAAGATGATAATATCTAGTATAGACAATTTCGAGATTTTTTTTATTATTACATTTTTAATCTTGTTCAGAAGCTTTTAGGCTTTAATTATACATTTATTGCTCAGTACTCAAGATTAGAGCAGTAGTATTGTGCAAACAGACCCTCCTTAGCTGTTGGGTCTAACTTTAAACTTAACAATTTATACTCATATGTAATAATGTAATATCTATGCGATATGTCTAAGAATCAGAACACAAACAATGGAAAATAGTTTATTTTCTGATTTTAAATTTTAAATTATGTAGTAAAATGTACATACCTGTAATATTGTATAATAATATCATTATTATAATTTTATAAGGTTAGATTTAACCATGGAAATATATTACTCCAAGAGCAAATCAAAAATGTAGTATCTAAGACAAATGGAAGGTAAGTGTATCATAATATATTGTAATTAATGAATTGTGATAGTAAAAACCTTTCATAACTGTTTTTTACACATTCAGTTAGAAGAACAGATAAGAACTACACATTTATTTCATATGCAACTGGTTTATCTATCGTAGATGTAGTTCTATGATACCATAAAATTGTTTGGTCAATAATCTAGTATATATTTGTGTTCAATTAAATAAATAAAAAAACAATAATTATTTGGCCAGTTTTCTTTAAATAGCACAACAAACCAGTTAAACACAATCATTTTTGTCATAAAATTAAAAAAAAAAAATGTATGATATAAAATAGTAAAAATAAAGTAAAAACTAAAATGGTAGGGCAGTTAACATTTTTTAAAATTTGGTCAATGAAACAATAGAAGCATAAAATTATGTATAAGCTTACAATGTAGGAAAACAAAATGTATTTAAGAGTAACTTAATTAAACTATGGTCAAATTCTTAAGGCGCCCATAAAAGAAAATTTTAAATAACTAAGTTGAGTAAATTCTATTGGTTTTAACACAAGTATAAGAAATAACTTAACTTAATAAATAAATTACTTGATAAACAACCATAATATTTTAAGGACGCCCCATATTATTATTATTATTATATACATTACACGTTTAATTCATAATTAATACACGTATGTATAGATATTATATTAAAAAATGTCTTTTTTTATAATAAAACATATATTTGTCATACACTTAGACTAATTTATTAATTATTATGATAAATTAATGAATAGTTGTGAAACGAAGTAATTTTAAGTAGGTAATATTTTGTTCAAGTGTTACATAAATATTAGGAAGATATTTTATAATTATATAAATATTTTTTTGTTCTATATAAATAATATATTTGGTGGGAAAAATATCAAGCAAACAAAGGCAGAAAGTATAAAAAATATACATGATATATAATCAATAAGTAAAATAATAATCAAAAATAAAATTAAGAAAAACAAAATATCAAATAAAAAAATTTAACTTTTACTAATTTTTCCAACTTTTTTCTACTAGTTGTAGAAGGTACATAATTATTGTTATTAAAAGAAAAAAAAACTCAATCTAAAAAAAACTATTAAGTGTCACTATAAATAATATACTTGATTCTAGATTCATGATTAAGGAACTTTACAAAGAAGTATCATATACTATGTGCAATCTTGTATAACATGAGATACATAAGTCAGAGAAATTTGTTTAAAAAAACACTTATAGTAAGGAATGAAAAAATGTATAATATATAAATGTCAAATTAAAATCTGCCTTTGTTTGCGATCAGCACCTCTCACAGGGTGATTGTACAACTATAGTTTTAAATATAAATTCAATCACTTTTGTTCCATTCGGCTATGTACAAAAAAATAAAAATAATAATAATACATAAATAAATAAATTTAATAGTTTCTAACCACGATGATAAGAATACCGAATATTTCGGACCAACATTATCAACTTTTTGGTTTAGGGCTGCCAAACTTGACAACTAAAAAAAAAATTCAAAATTAATTAAATAGTTTATTTAAATAACTTATATAATATTCAGTAAATATTTAAAAGCGTTTAATATCTTAGCCGTACATTTTTTAATCTTTAATAAATATAATTAGTTCTTATTTAAGGAAATAATTATTTTTGACAGAAATTCTTATCAACCCCTTTCCCCAGTGGTTCTTAACTATTACCTAATTGAATAATATGCAAAGTTGTATTTATGTTATTTTAAATAAAATATTATATAAGTTCTGTTTTGTTTTTTGACTGTGATCATCAAAATACTTATAAAATTATAAGTTCTGTGGTTTTAAAAAGTTTAACAACTACTACCTATTCTTCACAAAGGTACAAACATTTGAACTATTTAATTTAGTCCCAAATCAAATTTATCTGTGGATAATTATTTAAGTATTTTTAATATAATTATATTTATATAAATAGGAAACAATAGTGACAATATTTAGTTTCAAGTACCTTTAGAATATTTTTTTGGTCTGCTAATTCAACTATAATAATATGTCAACAGTCAAAGTGGAAGTCACTCTGCTGTAAAATGGGTTACGAGTTGATCACTGTTAAGAATGGTATTCAATTTAAATTCATTGAATTAATATCTTTGTAAACAAAAAAGAAAACAATTCTGAGTGGAGACGGTTTGTCAGTCTAAGATATTTTAACTAAATAATTTGTGAATTAAAAATAAAAAACGTGCCTATGTATTTTAAACATTTTCCAACTGCTGTTATATCATTAAATTGTGGGGAACCTTGTATTAAATTTCCAAGGTTTTTGGTTTAACAAATAAGGTATTGACATTTATAAAATACTAAACTAAATTAATAGAAAATTTGGAATGTTTACTTAAACATAGTTGAAATATTTTGAAAATTCTATGAAGTATAAAAAATTTATAAAATAAACATATGGTGTAAATTTCAAGTTTTTGCAGTAATTTGTTTTTCAAAACAACAAAATAAGAATATCAGTTCAAAAGAAATCAAGTGAACATCCGATGTAGTAAAAATTTGAAATTCAAACGCACATAAAATATGTTTGTATTACAGATTATCATATCAATAAAAAGAATCTATATGTTAAAAATTATATAATTAAATTAGGTGACTAATATATATTATTTTTCAAGATTTTTTTAAGTTCAGTTAAAATATTAATAAATGTTTAACTCACCTCTAATAACAAAACTTTAAATTTAAAAATGGTTTTTATGCTTAATAAATAAACTTACTATCACACTTTATGCTGTGGCTGATGCCTCATTGGAAATGCATTACGGCGATCGGAATGACCATGTGCAGGGGGCGCAGAAGCTGTAAAATTATAATAAACATATTATCAACTGCAAGGAAAATATTCTATAATATATAGTATTTGGTGGTTGCTGTTATTGGTTAGCCAAAATCATTAAGAAAATAATTAATATATTCAATAGTGGCTAATCAATATAACTATAAACTGATTATCTTAATTTTTGATTGGTGGCAGTGACGGCCTTTGAACAGGTTACTTGGTCGGCTAAATAAAAAAGGCCCTACTATTTAGATACAATTAGGAACATAGGCGCCTTGAACATACTTTTTCCAAAAAATTGAAAGAGGGCCTCAAGTCGCCGACTTGGCCAGGCTGCCTATGTTTGGTTGACAAGGTCAAATAAAAATATGGTGTATCTAGCCCCCAAAAACATATATGTTAAAATAAAAAACCTCGTAAAAAACTAATACACAAAATTGTTTTAGTTATGTACTACCTCTTGGTGCATAATAATGACCTCTACCCTCACCATATCCATGAGCTGGAACTCTACTTGATCTGGGCTGTGACACATATGATTGAGGATTGTGTCGCTGTATAGAAACATAGAAACATAGTTTTCATTTTAAAATACATAATATTACTTAAAATATAAATTAATTACCATTCTACGCAAGGTTGTAATAGGTCGCCTTAATGTTTCACTAAATCTCCGAGCAGGGGTTTTCTTAGGATTCGAAGATGGTGTGTGTACTGCACAACATTTTATAAATACTCCCATTATAATCACAAATGTAACGCCCATGAGCATACAAGCCCACCAATTTTCCTAAAAATAAAAAACAATTAAATCTAAAATGTTGAATTATACTTTTGTAACTAGCATTTTTTGATAATATTATTGAATTTAAAATTAGAAACATAACTTTTTATTTGAACTGATAACTTACTAAAGCCCATTGTTGGAGAGTTTGAAGTGTTTGTTTATTAAGGAGCATATTTTTTAATCTTGCTAATGGCCCCTCAGCATCAACTGCTCGACATTTGTAAAACACATCACAGTAACCCTAAMAAAATTAAATTATTAAGCATTTTCATAATTATGAAGTTATTTATGATAGTTGATAATTTACTTGAAAATTATCACAAGGTGATCCTGGCCTTAAACTAATGCCACCGAGAGGTAAGTTAACGGCAGCAGCAAATTCACTAGTCGATCTGCAGGTTTGTAAATCAGTACCATTCATACAAGCCAACTCACACAACTTGCGTTTGTCAATATTGGGTATGATTTGTGATGTCAAAAAACATTCGTTTAGACCCCACTCCAAACAAATAGATCCAGTGCATTCACCATTGATGCAAAGCTTTAAAAATAATAAAAATAAATTAATTTAAGCTTATAACCGACTTTATTTACTAACCTGTGTCCCTTCATTACAGCGGGTTTTATTAGGTTTAGGAGGTGGTGCTGGACATTCTGGCGAAGTACCATCACAATTAGAACTATAACTACAAACATCTTCTCCACGACACATAACTAATCGATTAGATGGAATAAAGCGGCAGGTATCAGCATAACAGCATGGTCCTTGAGACGGACTAAACATTTAATAATATTAAATTAAAACCATAGTTATTAATTAATAGTTTTTATGCCACACACCTGCACTCAGTTTGTGCTCGACGAGCACAACCTCTAGCTGATATATTACGGAATCTATCTCGATCTGCAACTTGCCTGGGATAACAGCATTTATCATCACATTCATCATCATCATAACCACAATCACATTCTTCACCATTTTCAACAATTTTGTTACCACAAAATGCTCCTTCACTGGCTATAAGTATTTATTATGATTAGTATTTAATTATTACAGATAAAGTTTGTATATGAACCTTTAAAGCAATTTCTTTTTTTATTGTCTTGTATAGCATCTAATACACTACTGATATTAGCTATGCTACATGAAGAAAATTTACTGTTGTTTGGGCGATCACCACTAGTTGCAGATGCAAACATGATATAGTTACCACTCAAACCACCAGGTCGACAATCTGAAGGATAATCATGCTGTAAATAAGACATTTTTTAGAAAACAGATATTTTTCATTTAAATGTGTTCTACAAACCGGTGATCCAAAATTATGGCCGATTTCATGGGCCAGGGTCAACTGTGAAACTTTGGGTGGCACTCTACTATTGTAGTTAACAAATGTAATAATACCAGTATTTAAACTACGTTTAGTTGATTGATATAAACCACCAATAGTTTCTGTATATGTTTTATATTTTTCACAAATTCCACCGGATGCACCTGATAAAAATAAAACAAATATCATATGATCAAAATTCTAAATCATTTTCAAATTCAAAAACATTTTTTTTTTTTTTTGACATAATCAACCTATAAAGTAACTTAATTACCAGATGCGCTGGCAACCCAAGCTAAACCTAAGGTTCCTCCGGTAAAGTCTCTGTAGGTAAAAACATATGCTAGGCAAAAGTCTTCGTGGTTTCCCAATGAATGTAGGTTCAAAAAATTACTAACATCAATATTTTCCATACAGAATGGATTTTGTTCTCCAGACCATTTGTGGTCACAAGGTTCATCATCATCAATCTAAACCAAAATAGTAATCCAATTGTAACTAATAGGTTATTTATTTCAGAAACATTTTTAAGAGCTATTGAAAATGCATTTATAAAAAAAATAAATAAAAATATTTGCTTCTAATAAAAATATTAGAAACTCTGATAAAAATAAAAATATTAGATCTTAATAATAATAGCTTTAAAATTAATAATATATTTTTATATAAACATTAATATTTACTTTAATCCTTTGAACTTCAAATTTAATATTTCTGTGTTCAATGCGTCCATCAAATTTAGTATCTCTGTAGATATAATTTACTGCAGTTACATGGTGGGCTATTAATGATAATATCTCTTCTCTTGTCTTTGTTTTATCATAGCCAACCTTTAAAAAATGAATTAATTAAAAAAATATTTTTAAAATATTTTTGTGCTTAGTTAAATACTTGTTCTTTTATATGTTTCCATAATAAAGGGTCAGTTTGGATAAATAACGAACAAGTGTTGCGTTCTTCTTTAGGTTTAGTAGCACGTTTTGTTCTAACAGGTTTATGATGATGCTTGTCAGCTGCTGCTTGTCTTGTATATTTATAAGCAGGTCTTTCTTCATCTTGTTGTTGAATATTCCATGGACTTCCAGAATATTGGATGGTTTCCATACTTTGTTTTGTGGATCCAGTAACTCCACATCCACTAAAATGACCTGAAATATTATAATAACACAAATTTAAATTCATATTCAAATTTAGTAACATTAATTAATACTACTTACTAGAAGAGTTATGATATGGATTATCAACATCATTTTCTTTATAAATAACCGAATGGAAATTATCACTGTCTTTAAGGTGACCATAGGGATAAGTATATTTTCTAGATTTTTCTACAAAAAAGTTTCCTTTTTTTGGTGATATAATTTTTCCTTCAAAAACTCCATCAATTATTGAACCAAATACTGCACTGTTGTCTTCATCTGTTAAGAAATAAAAACAAAATTGTGGAAGATTTTATCAAACATCATAATCCGACTACTATAAAATATAAAATATTTTTCATTTTATAAACTAAAAATCAACAGTTTAGTTAAGGTTTTAGAACTAATCAGTTTGCAGTAATTAGGAAGTAATATAAGTATAGAATTGCCGTTATCTAAATTAAAAAAAAATAAGAATCATGTCTTAATTAAGTGTAAAGTATTCTAAATATAATTTTTTTAATTATAAAATTGTATAATTATGCTCATTAACAATGCACAACTACTAACTGTATACAACATTGATATCTATCTAAATATTAAAATTGTGTATTACATAAGAATACATAATACCTTAATGTGTTGTTAGCTTTAACATTGCAATATGTTGAAATAACAAATTAAAGGTAGAAATATTAATTATGTTTTGATATCAGTTTTTTAATTTTTATATCTAAGCAAATTATGTACACTTACCAACTGCTATATTTTATTCTTAACTCGCTTAAAAATTGAAGAAAAGTATAAAACTAAAGTAAAAACATAAATTTTCTTACCTAAGTTTGATAGTAAATCAGCATTTACATTAAAGCTAACTATACAAAATTAGTTCTGTTAAATGCAAATTTTCTAGTGTATATTTTTAAAACAGAGACAACATATCCCTATGTGACAACCTCTAAGTTACACAATTATGAATTATCACAACATACTAACAGTGTTAAATGTAATTATTTATATTACTGTTTGTAAACATTCTGAATGTTTAAAAACAAATGTTAATTTTTTTTTACTAAAGAATTATAAAAAAATTGTAAGTATTTGCATTAAATAAAAATTCGGAATTTAAGTTGATAAAATGTACCTACACCCCACTATAAGATTAGAGAAGAGTTGAAGAATCTTAACTTGTTATTTCTAAGCCAATTATATTTTAACTATTCTAAGCATTAATAATATGTTAAATGTATCTGTATAAAATAGTAACTATATAGTATGGATAATGCATCAATATACAAGCTAATTATTACCTACTTGGGGTTTAGTTTTTAAAGTAAAAATCTCTAGATAATTTAGACAATTTTTTTGATTGAAATAGGTTAATAAGTAATAATACTACTGTGGAACAAATATTGTTACATTCATTTCTAATTAAGTAATAGAAACAACCAAATATTAACTTACCGATAATATGTCCGTGGTATATATGTGAAGTATCTATATTATTAGGATGTATTTGTTTCCCAGAACTATCTAACACTTCCATAGAATTTGAAAATGTTTCCAAATCTCGACGAAGTCTGAGTCGAAAGTGATGGCCATGTGCTTTAAATGTTACATGCACATTACTGTCACTATTTGTCACTGATCTTTTGGCCCTATCATGACTCTGGGCCAAGTGTTGATGATCATATGTAACAGGCTCATAATGTGACACATATTGGCTGAGACGCTTACCTAACATTAAAAAGAAATGTAATCTAAGTCATAAGTAGAAATAGATATGAACAGTTTACCTTGAATATTATTGGTGACTATCAAGAGCACAACGGCCATAAAGCTGAGTGTATACATGCTAATAGAATTATAAAATATTTGATCACAGGCATAAAATTTGGCTTTTTTTACATTAAATAAGTAGTAACAACTTTTGAGGTATCAAATGGATTAATGTTTTTTTTTTAGATAAGTTGTTAATATAATTAATAAATGATCAAGAAAATGACAATTTCCGGATTTCCATTTTGACAGGCCTCCAGTGAAAATATTCTTTTGTTTTATTGTTATTCATTTTTTTGCGATAATAACAAAAAAAAATAGATAAAACTGCACAGTATCGCCATTACAGTAACAATGTAATCCCGTTGTATTTAAATATTGTTAATATTGTAGAACTTATAATAACATTTAAGTTTCAATTAAATTTTTTTCACCTTTAAACTTCATTAATTATCATTCAAATAATTTGCGTTGAAATAATTTCAGTCAATAATTTATATGGATATTTTTTTATCAGTAGCTCAAAAGTTGTATCGATAAAACATATCGTATGATTTCCTTCCATTGGTCACATTGGCTAGTTAGGGCTGATGCAACATTTTTCCACACACATCTCTACACCAGTATTTATGTGCCACATTATTTTCTTCAACTCGTCCGATATTTTACGAGTCATAATTTAATATATTATATTAAATATTAAATAGGTATTAATATAGAAGTAAAGAATATTTAACATTTAATATGACTGAAGAAGAAGCTGTGAGTATGATAAAGTGTACCATAGTAATGTTTTTTATTTATAATTTGTTATTCTCTATGTTATATGTTGTCAATAATTTAATCATTGGTCAAAAATCTAAACTATCTAAATATTATGAATTACCCCAAGAGTGTTATTATTTTCATTTAATACAATTTAAAGATATTATTCATTCTTGTCTCCATAATCGTAATTAAAAAAAAAAATTTTTAGAGTTTGGGTTAATATCAAAATTTGTTTCCTACATTTGTATTTACAAATATTTTAAAAGTATGGTTTTGGAAAATAGTTTTGTCTAATTGTTGTTTTAATGAACCACCCCTGAAGTAGTGTTTATTACTTACAATTAGAATGTAATTGAGAAATTCTACTTCTAACTGGAGTAATATGTTCCTATATTGTGTGTATTATTATATCACTATAATTATTTGATTATCATTTAAATTTATTACATTAACTCTCTTTAAGTAAAATATTTTTGTTTATTTTTAGTTGTTTGATCCTTCCATCAAGAAGAAGAAGAAAAAGAAGAAGTTCGACTTGGACAGTGCTTTAGCTTCTGAAGCTGGTGTTGATGGTATTAATGAACAAACATTAGATAAAGAAAACCAGGAACCTGTGCCAGACCCTGATGAATTTGATGGTAATTACTATTTATTATTGAGAACTATTATCATTTTTATGTTCGTATTTATTTTTTAATGAAAAATTGAAACTTTTAATTTTTATGTGTGAAAATATAGTTGAACCATAAGATAATATAAATTTTTTTTTTTTCATATACACTTCATTTAAATGACTTGTAATTAATCTAATAAATCTTTTACTTGAATCAACATGATAAATATCAATATTGTATCAAATTTCATTTGTACATTTATTATAGGTACGTTACTGTACTGACTTATTAATGTTATTTATACATTTAAAAAGGTTGATGTAATTCATATTTTTTAGATGGAAACCTGGATCTTGACAACTTTGGTAAGAAAAAGAAAAAGAAGAAAAAGGTCACAATAAATTTAGATGATTTAGAGAGTGCATTACCTGATACATCATCAGCAATGGAAAATGGTGATGGCCAAGGAGAGGCTATGGATGTAAGTTTTTCTTTTTCTCTTCATAAATGTTTTATTTGTTTTTAATTGTTTTTATTGCAGGATGATTTTGATTTAAATATGGACTTTTCAAAAACAAAAAAGAAAAAGAAAAAGAAGAAGGATATAGATGAATTAGTTGCTGAAGAAATGGATAAGAAAGGTGACAAATTTGATGACAGTAAGTGTTCTTTTTTTTCATTTAATAAGGTTGACAATCCTTTATATAATTTTATTCAAATTTACATGCTTTAACGATGGCCAGTGGAGTTTTGAGTCTGGTAAGGGTTTTGATAAGGTTAAAGTTATTGTGTAGAGATTTTATTTAATCTGAAACAATTACCTATTATTATTTATTCAGCCAAATTTGCTCTGTTTTCGGAAACAGTAGATATATTATAAATCAATATCCTAAAATTAGGATATGCATAATAAATATGTAATAGTTTAATAAACTAAAAGTTAGGTGGGTATACTCTACACTTAATTTAATAAACCTTTTAAGACCGATTGGGCTCAAAAACCTATAAGGTTAATGAATAACAATAGTAATTTAATCAAATTTTCATTCATGTATTTATAATGTTGACTGACATCATTTTCAAATTTGTTAAGTTTTATGTTGTAGGTTGTTAATTATTTTACAAAATCAATCAATAATAATATAATATAATACATGAATTTATTACCAATACATTTTCTGTTATTTAATTCAACAATATATTTTTTTTCCAGCAACTGATGGTGAAAGTCATACGTGGTTTGGTTCCGATCGTGATTACACGTATGATGAACTTTTAACTAGAGTATTTGAGATAATGAGAGAAAAAAATCCAGATATGGTTGCGGGTAAAAAACAAAAATTTGTTATGCGCCCTCCTCAAGTAGTTCGGATAGGTACCAAAAAAACATCTTTTGCAAACTTTACAGAAATATGCAAAACGTAAGAATATTTTTTAAGCGTTTGATTTTAAAATAATATGTTTTTAATAATTTGTTTATTGTTTAGTTTACATCGTCAGCCGAAGCATTTGTTAGATTTCTTGTTAGCTGAATTAGGTACCAGTGGTTCAGTGGACGGTAATAGCCAGCTTATAATCAAAGGTCGTTTTCAGCAAAAACAAATTGAAAACGTACTCAGGAGATATATAAAAGAATATGTTACCTGTCATACATGTCGTTCACCTGAAACCATCTTGCAGAAAGACACTCGTTTGTTCTTCTTGCAGTGTGAAACTTGTGGTTCACGATGTTCTGTTGCCAGTATTAAATCTGGTTTCCAGGTAAGAAATATGCATATTATTTTTATTTTTTTTTCTTCTAGTGAATCTTACTTGGAAGTTTATGGTCAAATACTTAAACCTGTTTCATTAAGTACAGATATTAAACTTAATTTATTTTTTTCAATTTATTAACAAATATATAGGTAAAAAAATATTTAATTCAAATGTATTCAAAATTATGTTACATAATAAATAGTATTTAAAGCATAGACTGTTTTATATATCTTTTAAAAAACATTTGAATCAATTGTTAGAATTTATGATTCAGCAGTTATGTATTTTTAATTAATTTAACAGTTCCAATATACAGTTTGATGTCAAATAATTAAATTTCAATTAGTTATGTGCATTTTCATAATTTTAATAGGTATTGACCACAACAATTCAATTGTTTCTGTATTAGGTTCATTTATGGGATAAACAAAATTATTTGAATTATTGACAGTTACATAAATATAGCCAATATCTTTCATCTGGTATGATTTTCATTCATTCACTAGAAGAATGCTCCCAGTAAAACCTTTATTTAGATAATTGGAGGAATTAATTAATTTTTATCTCATTTTTCATAAAATTACGTCATACACTAAATGAATACCTTAAAGTTTTAAATTTTATATTTAAACAAATAGACCCACTAACTTTTTAGATAATTTTTTTTAATTATACCATATGTTTGATATTCATTGTATCATTTTAATTTTGTTTACAGGCCGTAACTGGAAAACGTGCAGCTATCAGAGCAAAAACTGCATAAATATTATAATTTATTTTCTCTTGCGTGCTATACTAGTTCAGCAAAACATAATAAAATAAATATCACATTTTTACAAATTTCAAAAATATGTTCTTATTATTATTATGATCAAAATTCATTATAATAAACCCTACAAATATCAAAACAATTTAAATTTTGTTTTGAAAATGTTTAAATTGCCTCGGTTCCTCTTCTTATTGAAACACATTTAAACATTTTTAAAGCAGACTTTTTACAATCATTTTAAAATTATTATACTTTTATAAAAAAAAATGAACGTAGTATCAAATGCTTTTTAGCTTATGTCTTTCAATAATTTATTTCTATATTTAATATTTATGTAATCTCCATTATTATTAAAACTATCGTTAATGGGACTGAACTAATAACAGAGAAATATAATTAAAATTTGTATTTATTTTGAGTAAAAATTATAGTAGATTATTTTGAAATAACTTTTGTTTTTATTAGATTATAATAACTTTAGACGTTATGGCAAATTTTTGCTCAGCACTTCTAATATTGTGTATTTAACTGAATTATTGAGTTGAGCTACTATCAAATTTGAAGTTAAGAATTTAATCCATTTAAAATTACTATTCTTTATAGGGGTTCTTAAAATTTGAAAACGTCCAACACTTGTTTGAAAAATTTAAATATTATAAAAAAAAACACGAGAAAGCACAGATAATGGTTCTTACCTTGTAGTTTGATATTAGATAAATTTTCTCTATTATTCATAATTATTAAATACACAATATTTGAATTTCTGAAAAAGATATTTAACATGTCATGGTACCTACCATTTTAACACGGATAAAATTATTTTTAGTTTTTTTTTACAAAAATGTTTTCATTTATTATAAGGATAGTAAAATAATGTTCACATTTTTAATAGTAATTTTGTGTTTTGTTCTGGTTTTTACGCCCAATAAGAATAGAAAATTGATTGATATGCGTTCATATCAATTTTTTTTTTTAAATTACATTTTGCAATTCTTATTTATATTAAGAAAAATAAGATTTCTTAAAAATTAAGAAGGTTTTGATATGTTTTTAATGTTAAATTAGTTTTCTATGAATTATTAAAATGCCCGATTTCAGCCTTATCCACTTGAAAATATATCCAAGTTTAGCATGAAAGTATGGTCATGGTCTAGTTATTTTTTTTCTTTGTAATCGTTCATTAAAACGACCTTAAGGTATTTGTATATCACATGTAGGTAGTAGGGAGATCATGTGATCTATTTATCTATATACATAATATACTCTATCCCCCTTCTCCAAGAGGAGACATGTGCGGTTTTTATTCCCAGTGGAGTGGGACTTAGTTGGAAATTGGATGACAGCATAAATTGGTGATCGCGAAAAACCACGCAATTTTTTTGCACTTTGCTCGATGACTGTGTGAGTCGCAATCAACTGCGTGGGCCACTGCACCACTCCAGCTCCATC